CGGGGGCAACGGGCGCGGGCCCGGAGACTCAGCCAGTTAGAGCACAGTTTTCAAAATAACGACAGTGAGAGGGCCTACGAGCAGCCAGGGAGGAAGCGTTGGCCTACGTCGAAGACGCGGCCCAAGCGGAGGGCGGGAAAAGGCAGAAGGCGGAGCGCCAGCTGATTGGATGGCGCCCGCGCGCCCGCTGCTGTAAGGTCGAATGAGAAAAGGGGAGTAACGATTTAGTCCAATCAACCTTGGGCTTTCAAAATGAGCGCCCCCCCCCCCGCCTTTCCTGCGAAGTCCTTTCATCGAGCTAAGTGTCTTTGCAACACACATTCTGATTTGTCTACATCTCCCGCCCCTTGAGGAGTACGAGCGGGTAAAGTCACTAGAACCAATCAAAACGAGGGTCGGTAGAAACCCCTCCTTCCTGTTGCCTTTAAGAAACCGGAAAGAGAAAAATTCACGAAGGACCCGCCCCTTGCCGTTAGGGCGGTTTCAAAACAATCTGTCCACCAATTGCATTTATTGTCTCATCTCACTGAGGGCCGGTAGAGATGGGTCGCTTGAGGAAAAGCTAACAGGATTGGCCGTTTTTCAGAGGCTTGCCTCACAAATTTCGCCGTAGAGGGAGGCATATGGAGTAGATATTAAACAGATATATTATTCATAATCTGGAACTCGGCTGTTTTATTATTACTTTTTTAATGAAAAACGGAACTTTGGCGAGTCCTGCAGGTTTGATACTAGAGGCTAGGCCAGCGACGAGAGAAAAGTTGTCAAGGAAACCGCGTGTCCATCCCCTGGCCAGCTCGCCTCGCGGGGCCTCTGTCCGCGACCGCAGCCTCGCGGAGGCCGTGGAGCCGCCCCTCTCCGGGTAGAGCCCCGCACTGAGCGGCTCTCCCCTCCCCGACCCTCTGCATGGCTGTCCGGGGCACCTGGCCGACGGGCTCAGAGACGCGGATCGGGCCTCCCGCTAATAAACACGGACACCCGAGTTCCCCGGCGTCTAACGCCGCGCCACCTGTCGCCTCTAACTCAAACGGACAAACCCGGAGTCAGACACACAGCCGAGGCACGCAAGGCCCACACCCGCCACACTCCAGCGGAGCAGACAAAGGCGCGCGCCGCGCAGATACACCCCCAGGCTCGGGTCGGATCAGGTGCAGCACACCGGCAGCGCAGGTGTGCCCGCGAAGCTCCGCGCGGCCGGGCGGCCCCACACCGCACCGACCCAGCGGACAGTGCCACTGCAGCCACCCGGACACGCAGCACCCACTCCGCGGCGGGACAGACACTCACGTGGGCCCGGAGGTTCCAGTCCAGACACCCCGCCCCTCGCCCACGTCCGACTTCCTCTCTCCTCCCAGCCTTGCACAACGATTTGTTCTAAAAAAGTTTGTGGCCCGGATTGAACCGTCCCGGCTTCTCGGGAGCCGCCACCGGGGGGCGTCCGGGCGCTGCCAGGGGCTCCTCGGTCCGCTCCCGGACACACCCTGGACTGCGCGCCCAGGGCAGCGAGCGGACTCCCCTGGTGGACCCGGGACTACCGGAGGGGTTCTGTGCCCGCGTTTCTCTTCCTGGACTGTGGGTACCTGTTCTGCTCCGTGTCTCAGGATTTCTATCACTTTGGATCTGTTGCTCAAGTTTCTTCCTCTTCCCGCTGGGTGTCTGCCTGATTGTGTGTGTTTGGCCTCGATGTACAGTGTTCATTTAGACCTCTCTAGGGAGGAGACTTTCGTAGACCCCACCACACCCTTCCTGGTACTGACAGAGAAACTGAATGGCTGGGGAGAGGGGCCGCATCGCAGCTGAATGCAGATGAGAGGAGACACAAAGAAGATTACGAAGTTTTATGTGCTCTCAGCTCCTCCGGAGGCACCAGAGACCACACTTGTACACCGGCGATAAGGGACTGGCTCATGGGGGCAGCATGACCCAAAAGTAGGGAGCCGCCCATCCCCCGGGGTGGTGGGGAAGGAGGCATCCCTAATGCATTGCACAGGCTTGGGGGGAGGAGGAAGCGAAGGCAGTGCCTAAGAAGGGGAGGGGCACATAGAGGAACCCTATCAGGTTAGAACCCTGGAATCGTACCTAATACTCTAGGCTGTGGACCCTGAGAACTGAGAACACGCAGTCTTTTAACTGCAGTACCTAGAACCTTCAGATTTACAAATGTGGATTCTTGGGTCCTTCACATGATCCTAGGAAGGCAGAGTGCACATAGAACCTGGAGGTGTCCAATGTTAGGAACGATTAGAACTTTGGAGTCTAGTTAGTCATGGCTACCGGTGAGAGTCCTGCATGCAGAATCTTGGACCAACAGACCCTAGAGTGCCCTGAAACACAGGCTAGACCGGCATCAGGATCTCAGGGATTAACATCCAGACTCCTGGAGCATATGATCTAGAATCTTAGATTCCGAGACTAAGTCTTAGGATGTCACATCTTAGGACATGAGACCACAGAACGTCCATCTTTAGACTCTTAGAACTTCTGAGTTGCAGATTCTAGAATCCTGGATCATCTATGACCTCAGAGTCCATTAGGATATCAAACCTTGAGGAGACAATGTTTTGAAGCCTTCGTGTCCAGACTCTTATGGTTAAAGGATTTAGATCTGAGAGCCTTAGAATGTCAGCTTTTAGAAATATAGGCCTTAGGACCTCCATGTCTAGAATTACAGAATCTACATTCTTACATACATACCATTAGAAAAGCAAAATCTAGAGCTTTAGAACCTAAAATCTTGGGGTCTTATCAAGAATCTTAGAACCAGAAAATCTAGAACCACACAATCTCACAGCCTTAGAACTTCCTTGCTGAGAACTTGAGCACTTTTGAGTTAGAGACGTTGGAATTTCAGGTCCTTAGAACCAAGAACTCGTAGTATCTCTGAAACCCAGAACCTCGGCATCGAGACTCCTTAACCCTTAGAGTCCCGAGTCTCGGAATGCAAAGGCCTGGGAGTACCTTGAGAGACTGCAGTCGAACCCCTTCCTCCTACAGGTGGGGGTGCTGTGGTACAGGGAAGGCAAGGGTCTGTCCGGATGGAGGGGGGTGGCAGGAAGACAGGGCTGCAGTGGGGAGAAACCTAGGGTGGGAGAGTGGGGAGGGGGCTTCCCCCAGTGGCAGTGCCTAGCTTGGATCCTGAGAGGAAGTTCTGGGTAGAGGGTCATCTCAGACTCCATCCTCCTGTGCCGGGGGTGCTTGGGAGCTCCTGTCGGCAGGCAGAGCAGGGCCAGGAGCCGTGGAAGGGCAGAGGACGTAGCGTCCGGCAGGATGGACCTCCGCGGCCGTAAGGCAGCTGCAGGAGTCCTTCGGGTCGGGCTGGGTGTGCGGCTCTGCTCCTCCGGCAGCTCCACGGGGCTCGGAATGACCTCCGCCCTCGTCCATGTTGACGTAGAGGATTTCGTCAGGCTCCTGGGCAGGGGGCAGGGCCTTCAGCGTGTTCTCCAGGTCTTCCCGCAGCTCTGAAAAACTTGGCCGGTCTCGGGGGTTCAGCTCCCAGCACCGGGACATCAGGGCATACCTAGGGCAACAAAGTGAGGGGTGAGAGACTGAGCAGGGACTCAGACAGATGGCATTCTGGGAGTCTGGGGACACTGTATGACATGCAGAGAACTGGGGGCGTTTCAAAGGGCTGTGGGGAAACAGCAATGTGGGGGATCTTCCAGAGATTTGGAGATGCTCAGCAGTTTCTGCAGGGCGTCCTGGAGGTGGGATGTGGGAAGGGCCTGGGGACACCTGTCTGGTGTGAGGATCGGGCCTGGGGACACCTGTCTGGTGTGAGGATCGGGCCTGGGGACACCTGTCTGGGTGTGAGGATCGGGCCTGGGGACACCTGTCTGGTGTGAGGATCGGGCCTGGGGACACCTGTCTGGTGTGAGGATCTGCTCCAGCACAGCTTTCCAGGTGAGCCTCCAAGAAGAGACCCCGGCATCAGAGCCTGGCCCTGCCACCTAGAGGCTGCGCTGGTTTAAAACAAGCCCATAAAGCCTCCTTTCAAAGGATGGCAGGAAGTCTCCTCCCGCTGTGTGCAGCCAGAGTGTGTGTGACTTCCGAGACCAGCTCACACAGGCACTGTGGCTTCCTGCCTGCACTTGCCCTGGAGTCACCGTCCCAGTGCTAGGGAGGGGTCCTTGTGGCTAGGATCGGGGCCTCCGGCCTCAGCCCTGTGAGGGAGCCAATTAGAAAGTGACCTTGGCAGCCCCAGCTGACATCTTGAGTGTAACCCCCTTAGAGACTGGGAGCCAGAATCACCCTGTTAAACTGTCCTCAGACTCCGGACCTTCAAAAATTCTACCAAGTTTGTTATTTTAAGCCTATTAGATGGGCCGGTTCAAGTCCTGGCTGTTCCACTTCTGATCCAGCTCCCTGCTAATGTGCCTGGGAAAGCAGCGGAGGATGGATCAAGTGCTTGGGTCCCTGCACCCACATGGGAGACCCGGATGGAGTTCTAGGCTCCTGGCTTTAGTCTGGCCCAGCTGTGGTCATTGTGGCCATTTGGGAATGAACCATCATGAGAGATCTTTCCCTCTCTTTTTTTCTGTAACTCTTGACTTTCAAATAAATAAAAAAAATTTTATTTATTTATTTGAAAGTCAAAGAGGCATAGAGAGAGAGAGAGAGGTCTTCCATCTACTGGTTCACTCCCCAGATGGCCCCAATGGCCAGAGTGGGACCAATCCAAAGCCAGGAGCCTGTAGCTTCTTCTGGGTCTCCCACATGGGTGCAGAGGCCCAAGGACTTGAGCCATCTTCTACTGCTTTTCCAGACACATCAGCAGGAGCTGGATCAGAAGTAGAGCAGCTGGGACTCAAACCAGTGCCTATACTGGATGTCAGCACTGCAGGCGGCAGCTTTACCAGCTATGCCACAGCACCAGCCTCAATAAGATAAACCTTAAAAAACCAACCAACAGGCCGGCGCCGCGGCTCACTAGGCTAATCCTCCGCCTAGCGGCGCCGGCACACCGGGTTCTAGTCCCGGTTGGGGCGCCGGATTCTGTCCCGGTTGCCCCTCTTCCAGGCCAGCCCTCTGCTGTGGCCAGGGAGTGCAGTGGAGGATGGCCCAGGTGCTTGGGCCCTGCACCCCATGGGAGACCAGGAAAAGCACCTGGCTCCTGGCTCCTGCCATCGGATCAGCGCGGTGCGCCGGCCGCAGCGCGCCGGCCGCGGCGGCCATTGGAGGGTGAACCAACGGCAAAGGAAGACCTTTCTCTCTGTCTCTCTCTCTCATTGTCCACTCTGCCTGTCAAAAAAAAAAAAAAAAAAAATCAACCAACAAACAAGAACAGGCTATGTGGGGCTGGCCTTGTGCAGTAGTGGGTAAAGCTGCCGCCTGTGACACCAGCATCCCATACAGTTGTGTCAGTTTAAGTCCCAGCTGCTCCACTTCTGATCCAGCTCCCTGCTAATGGCCTAGAAAAAGCAGAAAGACGACCCCAGTGCTTGGGCCCCTGCCATCCAGTAGTTCTTGACTCCTGGCTTCAGCCTGGCCAGCCCTGGCCATGGCAGCCACCTGGGGGGTGAACCACTGGATGGAAGATCTCCTCCCCTCTCTCTGTAGCTCTTTCAAATAAATAAACCTGTTCATTTTTAAACAAAGGCTATGAGAATTGGGGGTATAAGTTATTAATGCACCAACTGTGCAACCTTAGGCCTTGGTTTTCTCACCAGCAAAATGGAAACAAAAATTATCTCCCTCACATAGCTGTGGTGAGGGTTAGATGATTTAATACACACAAAGCACCTAAAACGGTGCCTGCTAGTAAGTTCTAGAAAATGAGTAGCTATTATTCTCACTCCCTTTGGCTTTGGGAGCACCCAAGGAGGACCTGGCAAGTCTGAAGCCCCAGGCTGTCTCCTCTGGACCCAAGCAATTTCCTCTGTTTACCCTCAGAGTGCTGGCTAACTGCCGTGCCTCACTGCACGCCGTAATACCGCCAAGATTGATGGGCACGTCCTCAAGGAGACTGCAAGATCTCAGAGGAGCCCTAAGAGCCTGGCGGAGGTTCAGTAACCCGAGCCTCTGCCGTGTCCTGGGTGCCGAGGAGTACCTGGGAGGAGCGTGGGGTCCTCAGGGCCACCGGGTGAGGTTGTGCAGTTGGTCACTCACTGCCCAAGGACACACAGCTGGGGGGCCCGATCCAGCCTGCACACCATGTAACCTTAGCTAATTGGCTCCCCATTGGCTCCTAATGGTCCTGCCAGAGTACTGGAGAGGGGCAGGAGGGTCACTCCACACGCTGAGCACTGCACCCACGTCTTAAGGGTCCTGGGGATGTCCGGGCCACGTGGGGTGCTCAGGGGCGTGCAGTGCATTTAAGGCTGTGTATGGGGAGTCCCAGGGGTCCTCACAGTCCATCCAGACAGTCTGCAGGCTGCTTCAGGCGGTTTCCCTGGCGCAGGTAGTCATAAATCTCGCTGTTCTCCACGCCTGGGTACGGCGTCTGACCGCGGGTGGCGATCTCCCACATGGTCACCCCAAAGGACCACTATGGGAGGCAGAGGGAGGGGATTAGAGGGGCTCTGCAGCACAAGAGACCCCCAACATGTAGGTTCACAGGCACAGCACAGAGACCCCCAACACACAGGTTCACGGGTACAGTCCCTCTCATGTGCACATGTTCCCAGCCACCTATTGGTGCATCACAAGTATTTATAGAAATTCTTTCCTGGGGCCGGCGCTATGGCATAGCGGGTAAAGCTGCTGCCTGCATTGCTGGCATCCCATATGGGCGCTGGTTCGAGTCCTGGATGCTCCACTTCCAATCCAGCTCTCTGCTATTCTTTCCCCAGTTACACACACACACACACACACACACACAGAGGTAATTTTTGTGGATGCACGTGCATGCTTATCCAGGCACACACCTACGTGCTTCCTGGACACATGACCTCAACTGTCACCCTCCATACTGCTGTACACACTGCGCAGGTGCAGGCACATGCGTGCCTGGTCATTGTTGCTTCTCCTAACCTGTAAGATCCACACTGCTGCTATGCACGTGTGTGTCTGTGTATCCCCATGTACACACCACCACTCAGACACCCATGCCGCCCCACACAGCGAACCCTGCACCCATAGCTGCCTAGGCGCAGTGTGTGATGGCCAGGCCCTGCTGTTCACGCCAGCCCTGCACACATACCACGTCGCTCTTGCTGGTGTAGACGCGGTCAGCCAGGCTCTCGATTGCGATCCACTTGACGGGCATCTTGGCAATGCGGCCCTGGCGGTAGTAGTCCCCGTTGTAGATCTTCTTGGAAAGCCCGAAGTCGGCCACACACACGGACATGTTCTCATTCAGCCTGCCGGGATGGGGGAGAGAACAGGCTCCAGGCCCCAGCCACCTCCACCAGGAAGCCTGCCTGGCTCTCACAGGGCTCCACTGCCCAGCCACACTGTTCTGTGTCAGGGTGAGGAAGCTCTCCCCTGCACCCTTGCCCTAGTCCAGGAAGGAACTGCTTTACTTCTCGTTTCCTTCCCAGCCTGCCTGGCTCTGGTGTTTCGACAGATTCTAAAGTCCTTCCTAGGTTCCTGACTTTAATAGTTTTCTTGGCGGATAGCAGATATACAATGTCAAACCCTCAGGGAACGGCTCCCTGTGTGTCCATGGACACACCTATGTATCCAGCACCCACATTAAGAAGCAACACCCAGGGGCCAGCACTGTGGCATAGCGGGAAAAGCCTCTGCCTGCAGTGCTGGCATCCCATATGGGCGCTGGTTTGAGTCCTGGCTGCTCCACTTCCGATCCAGCTCTCTGCTATGGCCTGGGAAAGCAGTAGAAGATGGCCCAAGTGTTTGGGCCCCTGCACCCACATGGGAGACCCGGAAGAGGCTCCTGGCTTTGGATCAGCTGTTGTGGCCATCTGTGGAGTGAACCAGAGGATGGAAGACCTCTCTCTCTCTCTCTGCCTCTGCCTCTCTCTAACTCTGCCTTTCAAATAAATAAATAAATAAATCTTTAAAAAAATAAAAAATAAGCAGCAGCAGCAGCATCCACAGCCAGGCATCTGGCACAGTGGTTAAGCTGCCCCCCATATCCTAGTGCCTGCGTTCAACTCTCAGCTCTGCTTCTGATCCCGCTTCCTGCTACTGTGTGCTCTAGGAGGCAGAGATGATGGCCAAAGTAATTTTATCCCTGCCACCCACATGGGAGACCCAGATGGAACTCCCAGCTCTTGGTGTCAGCCTGGCCCAGCTCTGTCTGTTGCAGCACTGATGGGAGAGCTCTCTATTTTTCTGTCTTTCAAGAAACCTTTTTTAAAGATTCATTTTTATTTTTATTTAAAAGGCATAGTGACACACAGAGAGGAGAAGAGGGAGAAAGAGAGGAAAGAAGAGAGAGGGAGAGAGAAATCTTCTATCCCAAACAGCCGTAACAACTGGGGCTTGGAGAGGCCAAAGCCTGGAGCCTGGATCTCCATCCGGGTGTCCTACATGGGTGGCAGGGGTCCAAGTGCTTGGGCCATCTTCTGTTGCTTTCCCATAGGTGTGTTAGGCAGGAAGCTGGATCAGAAGTGGAGCATCGGGGAGTTGAACCAGTGTTCTGACATGGGAACTTAACCTGCTGTGCCACCACACCAGTCCCCACCTTTCAAGTAAATAAAACTAAAAGAAAGAAAAAACACCCATAGAACATTCATACAGTAGAATACTACACAGCAAAGAAAATGAGAAACCTACGAATTACACATACCAACACGGAACAATCCCAGAAGATCACACTAGCCAGAGAAGCCTGACATAAGGGGTACAGACTGCGTGGCTGCAGTTAGAGGACATTTAAGAACAGATGAGGCGGGCCAGCGCCACGGCTCACTAGGCTAATCCTCCACCTTGCGGCACCGGCACACCAGGTTCTAGTCCCGGTCGGGGCGCCGGATTCTGTCCTGGTTGCCCCTCTTCCAGGCCAGCTCTCTGCTGTGGCCAGGGAGTGCAGTGGAGGATGGCCCAAGTGCTCGGGCCCTGCGCCCCATGGGAGACCAGGATAAGTACCTGCCTCCTGCCATCAGATCAGCGTGGTGCGCCGGCTGCAGCGCGCCAGCCGTGGCAGCCATTGGAGGGTAGCAGGTAAAGCCTCTGCCTGCAGTGCCAGCATCCCATATGGGCACCAGTTCGAGTCCCGGCTGCTCCACTTCTGATTCAGCTCTCTGCTATGGCCTGGGAAAGCAGTGGAAGATGACTTAAGTCCTTGGGCCCCTGCACCTACGTGGTAGAGACCCGGAAGAAGCTCCTGGCTCCTGGCTTCCAATCACTGCAGCTCCAGCTGTTGTGGCCAACTGGGGAGTGAACCAGTGGATGGAAACCCCCCCCCCCTGCCTCTCCTTCTCTTTCTGTGTAACTCTGACTTTCAAAATAAATAAATAAATAATCTTAAAAAAAAAAAGACGAAACTAGTGATGTGACAGAAGTCAGACAGCGGTTACTGCTGGGGAAGGACACGACGGAGCCAGCTGGATTTTAAGAGTCCCCCTCCCCCATTTTATTTGAAAAAGGGGGGGGGAGAAAGAGAGAGATCTTCCATCTATTGATTCACTCCCCAAAAGCCTGCAACATTCAGCCAGGAGCCAGGTCTTCCCTGTGGGTGGCAGGGACCCAAGTATTTGAGCCATCGCCTGCTGCCTCCCAGGGCGCGCTAGTAGGAAGCTGGAGTCAGAAGTGGAGCTGGGACTGGGGCGAAGCACTCTGATTTGGAAGGCAGGTGTTCCAAGCAGCACAGCGGCCAGACACGTGTAACAACTGGCTGAGCTGCCCGAGTGCGTATTTTAGTGAAGGTAGAACATGCACCGATTTTTTAAAGTATAAAAACTAGAGGAAGGAGACATTACCAGCCCCCTGGTGCTCCCCTTAGGTTGAGGCCCCTCCCGGGGTAAGCACTCTTCCCCTCCAACAGCGAGGCTTACTTTTGTTTGATTTTGTGCCTTATAAAGACGGCCCATGCCCATGGTCCACGTGTGCGGGGGAGGAATACCCATTTTCAGATTCCCGCAAGCTGTGTACATGGTCGAGCCTTGTCAAAGCGTTTTTCCCAGGCCTGCTTTCGATGAGTCTGAAGTTGTCATGAGCCCAACACTCTGAGCCTGTGGTCCTGTCCCCCCGCCCCACTCCCCTGGGCGGCTGCTGTGGCCTGTATTCCGCTCGTCCGCTGGTGGAGATTCTGGCCCCCTTATCCAACGTGGCCCTTCCCAAAGGACAGCCACAGGCAAGGCACAGATGGAGGGGCACAGAGGAGGCTCCTCTGGTCACCTCTGCCCCTCTGCTCACCTCCTGCTGCACACCAAGCCTCCCCTCTGGTCCCTTCTCTCTCCTCCTCTTCCAGGAGGCCTCCCAGACTCCCCTGTTGAACTTGCGACCCCAGTCCTGGGTTCCGCCTTCCCTGAGGGGGCAGCCGGCCCGTCCTGCATTCTGGCTTGACACTCACATGCAATTCCTGGCAGCCAGGTCCCGGTGTATGAACCTCTTGGTACTCAGGTACTCCATGCCACTGGCGATGTCTGTCATGAACTTCACCAGCATCTGCGTGGGGAGGAACTGCAGGGCCAAGGCAGGGCCAAGCAGAGATGAGCGGATCCCGAGTCCCTGCCTCCTCCCCGCCCTTCTCGTGCACGCCAGTCTCTGCCTGCTCTCTTCCCATGGCCCTGAGAACGAGGCCCAGCCCCTTTCTGCAACCTCCAAGGCCCCAGATAATCTGCTCTGCCCTCCTCTCTGACTCCATCTCCCACTCTCCTTGCCCTTGACTGACATCCAGCCAGGGGCTCCTTTCCGGCCAGCACACAAACCAAGCCTGTTTCCACCTTGGTCCATGCTGTGACCTCTCCTGTCGGAATCTCCCAGAGGCCCCCCAGCTGGTGCCTCCTTCAAGGTCACAGCCTTCCCCCACCCACAAAAACCTGTCAGTCTCCCACTGCGTCTCCCTGGGAGCTGCCTGGGTCATGCAGTGGTCAGCTTGTTGAGCACCCTGTCCCACCGTCCCACCGTTGCACGGCGAGCTCCGTGGGAGCAAGTGCTCGGGCCCCACAATCTGGCCAGTGTCTGGACAGTGCTGGCGCCTGGTGTGTGCTCACGGAGTGCAGCCATGATTAAACACCCCTCACCATCGGCTGGTCCCCAAGCCGCGAGTAGAGGAGGAAGCTGTGTAAGTCTCCATGTTTCATGAAAGGTAAGATGACCACAGGTGCCGGGAAGCCTTCTCGTTCAGAACCCTGGAAACAGACGCCTGAGCCCCCCAGGCAGCCCCATCACTCCAGCTGGACTGAGGGGAGGCCGGCGCCCTCCCAGCCAGACTCCAGCCTCTGCTTCCCTCTCTGTTGCTGGGGGCTGGGGCGGGCAGTGACAGGGAGAGTTTCAGAGAAGCCACTTCCAGCAGAGTTCCCAGGGATGTTTCCGGAGCCCCCCTGGGGACCTCAGCTATTTCTGGAAAGGGTCAGAGGTCGCATTCCAAGGCGAGGGAGAGAAGGGGGCGGAGTTTGCTGACCCTGGAGGAGCAGAGGAGTGGGGGAGCCAGGAGTGTGGGGGTTTGACCATCATCGTGGGGCCCCTGGATTTCCCCCACTCACCAAGCAGCTTCATGACGTTGGGGTGGTCAAATTCTTTCATGCAGACAGCTTCGCTCAGGAAGTCCTCCAGCTCCGACCTGGTGCAGATGGCGACTTGGGGCAGAGAGGAAGGTGGGTGAGGCCAGGAGTGAGGACTCCTTCCCTCCCCTGCCTCTCCATCGTCCTCATCTCCACCTTCATCACACACGATTAAGATGCTGGACTCAGTACTATATGTCTACGAGGTGTGCCCATGGTTCTCCTCATTTAATTTATTTAAATATTCATTTTATTTGTTTGAAAGGCGGAGTGACAGAGAGATGCACGAGACAGTGATCTTCCATCCACTGCCAAATGGGTGCAACTGGGGCTGGGCCAGGCAGACTCCCTGGACCTCCATCTGGGCCTCCCACGTAGGTGCAGGGGCCCAAGCACTTGGACCATCTTTTGCTGCTTTCCCAGGAGCATCAGCAGGGAGCTGGACCAGAAGTGGACAAGCCGGGATTCGCACTGGCGCTCATATGGGATGCTGGCATCGCAGTTGGCAGATGAACCCACTACCCCACAGCCCTGGCCCCTCATCCTCATTTAAAGATGAGGAAACCAAGGCACGAAAAGGAATGTGCCCAAGGGTGCCCAGAGCTGCAAGGTGGAACAGGCAGAACTCAACCCCAGGCAGCCTGGGGTCCGGGTACTCACTCTCACTCCAGGCTGCCTCCCAACGTTTTCCAACTGCTCTGAGACTCCCAGGGTTAATGCTGTCCCATTTTACAGGTCAGGACTCTCTGACCTGGAGGGGCAAGGTGACCTGCCTGAGGCTGCCCAGGTCAAGAAGGTAACCTGGAGCCAGGGTTGCAGAGGCTCAAGTCGCCGCTTTGGACGACAGCATCCCACATGGAGGCAAGTTCCCGTGCCGGCAGCTCCACTTCTGGTCCAGCTCCCTGCTAATGTGCCTGGGAAAGCAACAGATGATGACCCAGTATTTGGGCCCCCGCCACCCATGTGGGAGCCCTGGAAGGAACTCTTGAGCTCTGGGCGCCTGGCTTTAGTCAGGACCAGCTCCAGCCATTTTTGGCCTTGTGGGGAGTAAAACAGCAGATGGAAGATCTCTCTGTCATGCTGCCTTTCGAGTGCGTAAATACCCATTTTTTTTTTCCTGGTGCACAGGAAGTGCTCAGTGATGAATGAATGAGTGAATGACGATGACGCCGTAGCCCACGCTTTAATCCCTGTAAGTCAGGAAGGAGCCATTCCTCCCCCAACTCCAGCCCCAGCCTGACCCTCTACGCTTTTCCTTCTCTGCATAAAAAGGACTCAGAGCTGGACTTCCTGTGCTATGTGGCCCTGGACTGGCTAGCACCTGTCTGATGATGTAAATGCTTAGCTGCGGTTAACTGCAAGAACTACCTGCCACCCCCGCATTCACTGCTTTGTCTCGCAACAGCCCAGGGAGGCAGGGACATCCCGATCCAGTCTTCCAGAGGACGAGGGGAAGTCACGGTCCTGGATCCTGCAGCGTGCCTCCCCAGACCTCCCCCACTCTGCTGTATCATGGGGTGGGGAGTGCTCCTTGAACACTGCATTTCCCAGGCTCCCTTCCCTGCTGGCTTCCTGCCGCGGTTTGCCAAGAGCTGGCATTATGGGAGATGGGCAGTGGTGGGGGAGGCGGGGAGAAGGCAGGATATTTCATCTTCTCTCTACCTTCACGGAGCTGTGTCTTCTGGCGCCCACGGGCAGCCCCTAACTCTGTGGTCCCAACTTCCACCAGGCGCCCCTGGCCACAGGTTTGATGACATCACTTCCTCCCTCTGCTGTTCACAGCTAGGGGTGGAAGAGACTTCCTGTTCCTTCCTCCACCTATGTGGTGAGTGCCTGTATTCAGTTCCTTCTGTCAAACACCTGGCTCCCTTTTCTATTTGTTAACACTGAGGTGCTACACTGTGGTCAATCTGCCATTACCATTCCTGGGTTGGGGCTGGGGTCCCACACGTGCACACGCACGCACAGACTCACTCTTCATCGTCTTCACGGCCACCTTGAGAATGGAGTCGTCCTGGTTGAGCTGACCCTCCATCACGGCTCCAAACTCTCCTGTGAATGGCCCAAGGGAGATTTTGGCCTCAGGGGCCCACAGGGACTGCGTTTCCTACAGTCAGGTGCAGGCCGGGACAGAGGAGGGTACGTGTGGGCTGGGGGCCTCACCTTCTCCCAAGGTCTTCCCCAGGGCCACCTTGTGCCGGTCCACCATCACGTCCCGCAGCTTCTCCTTCAAGTCTTCACTGATGCCCAGGCTGTTCACTGCATGGAGGTGGACAGAGTCAGGGAGCAGGGCCGACACTCGGGGAGGCTCATCGGCAGGCCTCTGTCCACTGCTGACGTCCTACACCACTTCTGTGCTGCTTCAACATCTGAGGCTGCTCTGAGTACCTCCCTACCCTCACCCTAGCTACACCCCGGGACTCCCAAACCTTCCTCCAAGGCGGCAACTACAAGGCTAAAGTTGGGCACACAAATTTGCTCCAGTGGGCACCCTGATGGTCAGTTCACTGCAGTACTTGTTAAAAATAATTTCTTCTTACTGAGGCGTAACTTGCACACATCCTGTGTGCACTGCTCGGTGGATTTTCACAAACCAAACACAACGTTGCAACCAGCAGCCAGGACAAGGAAAGCACACGGCCTGCCCTTTGTTGACTTCTCTTACAGTGGGCTGGTCAGCTGTTTCATTGGTGAATGTTGCAGACATGGACTCACCCGGCGCATGCTCTTTAGTGTCTGGTTTCTTTCACTCAGCATTATGCCTGTGATCACTGCTATATAATGGCTGTGTGTCACTGCGGTTTATTCATTTTCATTGCTATATAGTAAGAGTTCTCAAACTTACTGATCTCAGGGCCCCTGTACTGGTGTGGGTTATATGTTTACATCAGTATTTCTGGTATTCAAAATAGAAACAGATAGTTGTTTGTTTGTTTGTTTTGCTTTTTTGTGCTGAAACCCAGGATGGATAGCATTTTAAACCACAAGCATACAAGAGCACGTGTTCCGTCAATCATCAGAGTCACTGGTGACATCATCTCAGGTCAGGGAGTTTCTAGAAAACTCTACTGAATGATCATAAGAGTGCAAAAGGACAAATGCGATCTTTCCTTATGATGAAAATAGTTTTGACCTCATGGACCCCTGCAAAATGTCTTGGGGACCCCAGGGGACCCGGATCACACTCTCAGAACACAGCTGTCGGTTACTCCACAAGGTTGCTGTGACCTCCCTGCTGCTTACTCCTTCTCTTACACAAATGTCTTTCCCAGCCCTTCCCACATGTCCCCTGGGGGCCACGGCAGTGTTCTCCCTGTGTGCTAGGAGGACCTCACTCTGTTCCTCTTCTTTCTGAATTTCAGTTTCCCCAACTGGAAAAATGAGGATATTTGACAGAGTGGCTTCCAAGGACCCTCCTCAGCTGGGACCATCCGTGAACCTACAGTCCACCAGCAGAACCTATGGGTTAATGATTCTGTTGTTTGTGTCATGCGTCTACAGGAGCCCAGCAGGTCTGATTCTCTACACGTGTTAGCCCCAGACCTGGTCAGGGAGCCATGGCGTTCACTTACAGGTAGCTTCAGTAGTCCGGCGACTGTAGGACTTGCGGACCCGGTATCTGACCACCAGCTCACCCCGCTCCACTGTTGGCTCAAACACCTCTCTGGGGGGATGGGGAGAAGGGGAAGGCAGGAAAGAACCGTGAGCACCAGCCCAGCCCCGGGTCCTGCCTGCCCTCTCCTCCAGTGCTGCTGAGTGAGTCTTGGGCTGCTCCCTTCCACCTTCCAATCGTTCCCCAGACCCTCTTGCTCTCATCCTGATTCTGGGTCGCCTCTCTTCCTGCACAGCCTCCTCACTGGTCTCTTTGCCTCCAGCCTCTCCATCCCAGGCCACATAAGCCTCCCCAGCTCACCCATAGCGAGTCTCCTTCTTCCGCCGGTGGACAAGGAAGAGGGCCAAGATGAGGACGCAAGCAGCGGCCACAACTGCTCCCAGCAGTACATACCACCAGGGCCATGAGAAGGCGGGAGCTGGGGGTTCACTCACTGTCAGAGGGTATGGGGGACAGATCATGGCGGAGGCCCTGGATTCAGCTCCCTGGGACCCCCGGGGGGTGATGTGGGAGGGAGGCAGGAGGTGTAGAAGGAGGTGTGGGTGCATTTGATGAGGGGTGCAATCGTGTATCCACGGACACTGGGCAGGGTCAGGCAGGGCATGCGGCGGATATGACAGGAGTGTGTGTTAAAGCAGAAGGAACGTGAGAAGTGTAGGAACGTCGAGTTGAGAGCAGAATGAGGGGATGGTGTGATGGTGCAGCAGGTTCAGCTGCTGCTTGCGAAACCAGCATCCCGAGCCAGAGCACTGGTTTGAGTCTGGGCTACTCTGCTTCTGGTCCAGCTGCAGGAGAACATGCCTGGGAAGCAGCAGGAGACAGTGCAAGTGCTTGGGTTTTGCCACCCACACGGGAGACCCAGATGGAATTCCTGATTCCTACCTTCCGACTAGCCCAGACCTGGCTGTTGTGGCTATCTGGGGAGGGAACCAGCAGATGGAAGTGCACGCGCTCTCTCTCTTTCTCTGTCTTCCAAATAAATAAATATTTGAAGAGCGGGATGAATATCTGATGACTGTGCAGGATGAGTTGTGAGTGTCCAAGGAGCACTGGGACGGGTGGGAATAAGTTTCAAGTAGAGTAGGTGTGTGTGATAATTATGCAAGGTGGGTGGTGTTGAGTGTGGAAAAACAGGTGAGTAGGAAAGAGAACACAGGATGGTGGGTGAGGCTTGTGCAAGGAGTGCAAGACTGATGAACAAAGGACCAATGCATGTCTTTGGTGTAATGCTGTCCGGTGTAATGACTATGAAAGGATGTTATGGTAAAAAAGTGTTTATTTACTTTCATTTGAATGGCGGGGGGTGGGGGAGGTAGAGAGAGAGAAATCTATCTGCTGGTTCACTTGCTAAAAGCCCACAGTTGTGAGGGCTGGGCCAGGCTGAAGCCAGGAGCCCGGGGAATTCCATCCGGGTCTCCCACATGGGAGGCAGGAGCCCTAGTACTTGAGCCATCACCTTCCGCTTCCCAGGATGCATCAGCAGGAAGCTGGATCAGAAGCAGAGCAGCCAGGACTGGCACTGGCGCTGCAATATGGAGTGTGGGTCTCCTCAGTGGTAGCTCTACCTGCTGTGCCACGACACCCATGCCTGAAAGCGTTCTCATAAAGCAGGGAGGAGGGCGAGACACCTGTGCAAGAGGCACGGTGAGTGTACACAGTGCGGGACTGCTGTGCACAGAGGTGAGGTTTAGACACTGGGAGCAGGCGATGACGTTCAGGGTGAGAGACGTGCACATGAACAGGTAAAGGAAGTGACTAGGGCAGGCGAGGGGTGTGGGTTGCATGGGAAGGGTGTGGAGATGGGGCAGGCGTAATGGTGCACAGAGTGTGTAGTGGGCTGTGACTGGTGAGGGGTGAGAAACGGTGTCTGAGGAGTGAGTGAGGGGAGCTGTAGGGTGTAGGCTAGCGTGGACCAGAAGTTTCTTGGTGTCTGCAATGGGTGGTGTGAGTGTGTACATGGTGTGCAGAGCTTGTGAGTGAGACTCCGTGTGTGTGTCATAGGTTTGGGAGGCGTGTGAGAGGAATGAAGGAATACAAAGGGATGTGCGCGACAGGAAGGTGGGATGAGTGTGGAATGCCTTTGTGAAGAAAGGAAGACATGTGAGGAGTACTGAGGGTAGTGGGTTGAGTTGCAAGAGGTGGACTGAGATGGTGTTAGGAGGGTATGACAGGTGTAGGAGGAGAAATTGAGAATTGCTGGGGAACTATTTGAGAGGAACAGATATGATGAGCATGCCTCATCCACCTACCCATCCATCCATCTATCCATTGACCCACCATTCTTCTATCCATATATCCCTCTACCCATGCACCCTTTGTATATCCATCCACCCACCCACCCATCCATCTATATATCCATCCACCCACCCACCCATCCATCTATCCATCCATCCACTGACCCACTCACCCATCCATCCATCTATCCATACATCCATCTATCCATCCACTCACCCATCCATCCATCTATCCATACATCCATCTATCCGTCCACTCACCCATCCATCCATCTATCCATCCATCCACTGACCCACTCACCCATCCATCCATCTATCCATACATCCATCAATCCATCCACTCACCCATCCATCCATCCATCCATACATCCATCTATCCGTCCACTCACCCATCCATCCATCCATCTATCCGTCCATCCATCTGACCCACCCACCCATCTATTCATCTATCCATACATCCATCTATCCATCCACTCACCCATCCATCCATCTATCAGTCCATCCACTGACCCACTCACCCATCCATCCATCTATCCGTCCATCCACTGACCCACTCACCCATCTATTCATCTATCCATACATCCATCTATCCGTCCACTCACCATTTACCTATCCATCCAGACACCCACCCACCAACCATTCATCAATCCATATACTCATCTACCCCCCTCCATCCATCCATTCATCACTGACTCACCCACCAGTCTACCATTCACTAAGGACCTACTTATGCTGGGCAATTCTAGGCACCTCCATCAAGGGCCACACAAACTCAAGAAGCAGAGGACAAGAATGATGAGTTTGAGAAACATGAAGGGCATGTGCAAAGGGCATGTGCATGCTAATGGGACCCTCCTTGGGTGTAGAGGGGAGGAAGAGAAGACAGGAGGTGCCAAAGCCCTTACCCAGCTGGTGGACTGGCTGTCCTTGCCCTGCGAGGAGAAAGGACAGAGGGGAGACGTGCTCAGAGAGGGCAAGGCTGGTGTGGCCCAGTGAAGGAGTCAGAGATGGCCCCAGGAAGCCTCGGGGTAGGAACGGAACAGGGTGCAGGTCGGGGTGGCAAGGAGGGACAAGGGTGCTGCAGGAGAGGGCTGAGCATGGCTCAGGAGTTACCTGGACGCCAGGGCTCCAAGGGCACGGGGAGGCTCCAGGGCCCATCCCCAGCAGCCGTGTAGGCTGCCACACACACCGTCAGGTTGGGCACAGGCCTGTCTCCCCGCAGCTCCAGGGTCACTTCTCGCTTGAGCCCTATGTCCATTAGCACCTAGGTGGTCCAGAGGGGCACGAGGGTAGAAGGCCAGGCCCATAGCTCAAGCCTCAGCCTCAACCCCGTCTCTTTCCCAGAGCCCTCATCCTCCAGCCCCTCCTCCCCTACATCTGCTCCCCCTTTCCTTTTCACTTCTCCATCCACAGGCCCAGTGGGAGACGGCACCAGGGCAAGGGCCTTGCCTGTCTCATTCTCTGAGGTGCCCCCCAACTCCTTAGCACGGCGCTCGGCACCCAGCACTGCTCAGGGAAGGTCTGCTGAAGAAGCCGTCTCGCCTTCTCACCTGGAACTCCGTCCCCTCCAGGCTTCCTGCCCTAGCTCTCCAGCCCAGGCTGCTCCAAACCCACGGAGCAGCTCTGCACTCATCGGGAGAGCCCCGCTTCCTCAAGATGCCGCACCACCGCCTCAGACAGAACTGCGCAACTGTCGTAGGCAGCAGGTGTCTCCTGAAACGCCGTCGCAGAGGTTCACAGAGAATCGTCCCCTAACCCCTCCCCGGAGCACTCAACCTCCCCAGAACGTGCTCCCGGACGTGTGAGTGACCGAATGCCACCCCATCTGGACAACTTTCTATGTCTTCCATCTCCTCTCCGAATCCCTCCTCCAGCCACCCCGCCCCACCCCAGCCAGCAGCACCCACCTCGGGGGTGTCCTGGCTTCGATACGCCAGCCGGTATCCTAGCAGGGTGCCCTGCAGGGGTGCCTTTGGCTCTTGCCAACGCACGAGGGCCTGGCTTCCGTTCCGCACGGCGCTAACGTTCTCGGGGGGGCCCAGGGGCACTGGAGGACAGGGAAGAAGGGAAGCTAGCATCCCCACTGCTTCCTGACCCCCTCCCCCGTTCCCAGGAAGTTAGGCATGGTGCAAAGGGCAGGCACGTGGGCAACGCTGCAGGCCTCCTGTGAGCAGAAGCACGGGGGTGGGGGTGGGGGAGAGGTGAGCGACGCCACGGACGGGGTTGAGAGGCGGGGGACGCAATGAGGGGGACGGGGTAAAGTGCGAGAGGCACACAAGCTCCAGCAGGGCAGTGAGCAACATCTCCCTGCCCAGCCCACTTACCTCCCTCCGGCGTCGCCACGGGCAGCCAGTGGGTCCAGGGCGAGGGGCCCTGGCTGCTGGTGCACGACACCCGGATGTGGTAAGAGGTGTGAGGATAGAGGCTGCCCAGCCGCAGATGGTGAGGGGGCACGGCTGCTTGCAAGGTGAGGGGCTCCTCCGGGGGGTCGGGCTGTCCTGGCCAGAGGCCCACCCCATCATCTGACAGCACTGCCTGGGAAGAGAGGGAAGGGCGTGGGGACAGGAAAAGCTCTCAGCTGTCGCGGCCCTGGTGTGACCACCCACCCTTGGCTGTATCATCACACAAAGGCCACCTCCTCTGGCAAGACTCTCGTTCCTCTCCGAGCCTCAGTTTCCCCATCTGGAGAAAGGGGGCTTAGAGGGGCAAATGCCCCTGGGTTGTTGAAAGCGTACATGTTATGGACACCCGAGGAGGCCAGGTGCACGGCAGGCGTTCGGCCTCGGTCATAGTAACGACGATGAATGGCGTGATGGTCACAGCTGCGACAGCAAAGCAAGCAGGAGCCTCTGAGACCCCAGCGCTGAGCCGGCCCGCAGGCAAAGGCCACCTCCCACAGCAGAAGCCCGCAGAGCGCTCCTCTCTAGGAGCCGAGGGGCCTTCCTGGGGCTTGGGAAGGGTCTGTGCTTGTTCGTGTGTCTGTTTTTCTTCAAAGCTTTATTTACTTATTTGAAAGAGTGACACAGAGAGAGATCTTCCAGCTGCTGGTTCATTCCCCAAATGGCTGCAAGGCTGGAGCTGGTCCAGGCTGAAGCCAGGAAGCCAGGAGCTCCATCTGGGTCTCCCACATGGGTGACAGGGGCCCGAGCACTTGGGCCGTCTTCCGCTGCCTTCGCAGGTGCGTGAGCAGGGGACTGGACTGGAAGCCGAGCAGCCGGGAGTGGAATCAGCACTCTTGACACAGGGTGCTGCAACTCACTGTGCCAACACCAGTCCCAGGAGCTGCGTTTTGATTCGGAGGCTGGTTACATGGACAACTCTGCAGGTGAAACCATCTAGGTGTACGCCAAAGACTCCGTAGGATCCTTACAAGCATAAGGACACGTCTGGTGTGCACTGAGCACCGTTCACAAATCTGAATTCATTTAACCCTGGCACTGAGGTAGGTCCATGCTTATCCCGGTCATGCAGGTGAGGTCACTGAGGCCCAGAGAGATGGAATTACTTGTCTAACATCATCGGTTTGTCACTCCTGACCCTGGGGTGTGAACCCCATTCTGTCCCCAAGGCTCTGTTTACAGCGAGAGCATCAATGAAAGTGACAAAAGCTCTCAGCAATCCAGAGAGGTGGTGTAACTTAGAGCTGAAGGGCCTGGCTCAATCCAGACTCTCCACTCCCTGGCTCTGTGCCTCGGTTTCCTCTTCTGTAAAATGGGCGGACAACAGTGGCTCTGCTTTACAGGGTTGGCTGAACGGGGGCACACAAGAGTTGGCCGGCGCCGCGGCTCACTAGGCTAATCCTCCGCCTTGTGGCGCCGGCACATCGGGTTCTAGTCCCGGTCGGGGCTCCGGATTCTGTCCCGGTTGCCCCTCTTCCAGGCCAGCTCTCTGCTGTGGCCAGGGAGTGCAGTGGAGGATGGCCCAGGTGCTTGGGTCCTGCACCCACATGGGAGACCAGGAGAAGTACCTGGCTCCTGCCATCGGATCAGTGCGGTGCGCTGGTCGCAGTGCGCTGGCCGCGGCAGCCATAGGAGGGTGAACCAAAGGCAAAGGAAGACCTTTCTGTCTCTCTCACTTTCCACTCTGCCTGTCAATAAATAAATAAATAAATAAATAAATAGAGTTTAGAAGACTGCCTAGGCATACTGCATGTTCCTCCAGGATTTTTTTGTGCGACAGAAGTCACCTGGCAACAAGTGTCAACCTCTGCACTCCCCCGCACGGCAGCACCTGGCTGGTCCTCTGGAATGGCACGGTCGGGACAGGGCCCCAGTCGGGGCACACATTTGCACAGCCCTGCCACGGAGCCCCACGCCACGATCACACACAACTCCTGGGCACACACCTCAGCACTGCTGCTGCTCAGGGCCTCACTTTCAGCCTGGAGACCTCAGTGTGGGCTCCTCGTGTCTGGGTCCAGCTTGGATGTTATTTGCTGTGTGACCTACAGTGAACACCTTGACTTTTCTGTCTCGGTTTCTGTCTCCAGAAAACAGGCCTCCCTACTCGTCAGGGTGTAGTGTTTAAGGACACAATGCTTGCACCTCGTGGCACCAACAGCTAACACCTCTCCGATGCCAAGGATGCGCCAAGCTCCAATGAACTCACTGACTTTTCACCCTATGGGGCCAATTTCCTTTCTCACTGCTACTTTATGAGTGAAGTCAAGGCTGTGAGAGGGTCAGCAGCTTTCCCAAAGTCACACAGCTCCTACGTGGGGAGATACACCACCCCCGGAGAGCCGCGGAGGGGTGGACGTGCGTGGTGCATCACAGGAGGGGGTGAGGCTGTCCTCATGCCTGCTCTCCCACCCACAGTGACAGACAAGAAGAGGAACCTCTTCCAGGGCAGAAGGGAGGTGGGTGCAGATAGTGGGCCTGTGCCCACTCCCACTTCTCTTTTGCCTGGGATGGCCGTGACCTTTCTGCTGGAGCCCTTTAGCCCCAGCCAGAGCACAGCAGGAAGTGAGACCTGGAGACGGAAGATGACACACTTCTGCTTTCCTGGGGACACTTGATGGATGGGGCCTGAACCGGCATCTGAAGTCTCCCAAGTCAGGCTGGCCTCTGGGACTGGACCTCAGCTTTGCCCTTCTAGCCATGGTAGGGGTCGGGTGGACAGGCCACTTCCCCTCTCTGGGCCCCAGTTCTTCACCTGGAAAACAGGGAAGTTACTGGCACTCCCTGCTAGGGTTAAAATGCCCAGGGCACGGAAGCGTAAGAAAGGCAGCACCTGTTTAGTTAAGCATTGGCTCTAAAACAGTGTCCGAGGAGGACAGGAGCACCCTTGGGTTTGGTGAGACCAGGGTTTGAATCCTATGTCTGCCATTTCTTGGCTGTGACCTTGGGCAAGCTGTAAATTACTGAGCTTAGTTTCTTTCATCTGAAAAACAGGTGGGGCCACGCATGAGGAGAAGTGAGTACAGCTGTACATAGGGCCCTGCCCGCAGTTGACTTGCGACCGAAGCCGACTGCTGACATCACTGTCACGGACACTGGCCCGCTCTCACCTCTGACTTCCAAATCTCAGAGAACTCCAGAGGCCCTGGACACACACATCTGGCTTGCCTGCTCGCTTGCTTTCTCTCTCTATTTTTTACACATCTGACTTTTTCTTTTCTTTTCTTTTCTTTTCTTTTCTTTTCTTTTCTTTTCTTTTCTTTTCTTTTCTTTTCTTTCCTCCCTCCCTCCCTCCCTCCCTCCCTCTCTCTCTCTCTCTCTCTCTCTCTTTCTTTCTTTCTTTCTTTCTTTCTTTCTTTCTTTTTTCTGAGTCAGAGCAGGGCTTTGACACTGCTTGGACGTTGCTGGCGTCCTGCGTCAGAGGACTTGAGTTCGAGTCCCAGCTCCACCTCCAGCTTACTGCCAACACCCTGGGAGGCAGCAGATGACGGCCCCAGTGCTTGGGTCCTTGACACTCATGTAGGAGACACAGATCAGGTTCTGGGCTCCCGGGTTCAGCCTGGATCAGCCCTGGCTGTTGTGGGCGTTTGGGGAGTGAACCTACAGACAGACGACTGACCTCTGTCTGTCTATCCCTGTCTCTCCCTTTTTCTGTCTCTCTGCCTTTCAAGTAAAAATAAATCAATAAAATTAAAATAGAGTAGGAACAACTTAATGTGGAGACTGGGTCTAGCCCACCTCACTTGTCATGCACTGTTCTTTTATTTTTTAAAAACGATGCATTTATTTCAAAGGCAGAGAGACTGAGCGATGGAGAGAGTGTGAGTGAATGTCAGAGAGACAAGGAGAACTTCCCATCTGTTGGTTCACTCCCCAGTTGGCCACAATAGCCAGGTCTGGAGCCCGGAACACCATCCGGGTCTCCCACATGGGTGCAGGGCCCCAGCACTCGAGCCATCCTCTGCTGCTTCCCAGGTGCATCAGCAGAGCTGAACTGGAAGCAGAGCAGCTGGGACTTGAACTGGCACTCCACTATGGGATCCGGCATCACAAGGGGGGGCTTACCCCTGGGCCACCATGCCAGCCCCATCACGTACTCTTGTAGAAAATATGCCCCGTACATGCCCGACCCTGTGGTGGTAATAATGAGGAGTCAGTGACCTTGGAGCCCACCGCCCCATGGGGGACGACCCAGAGGGGTCAGGACTGAACAGGAGATACACAGGGCAACGGGTACCTTACAGTGACACAGAGAGCTCCCGGCCCTGCTGTCTCAAATCTGGTCAGAGTTAATACCATTAATACTAAAAATAATGAAAACAGCTAATGATGCATTTCCTAAGTTCCAGTTGGTTATTATTGAATTTTCACAACAAGCTTATCAGATCGATGCTACCACTGTGCCCATTTTACAGATGAGAGAACTGAGGCCTGTAGAGATCAAGTAACTGGCCCAAGTGGAGCCAGGATTTAACTCAGGATATCTGGCTTAATCTGCAGCTCTGTTGCCTTTCAACACACCAATGGCTGGGAAGGGCTGGCTTCCCAGGGAGAGAGTGAGGGCTGGGGGTGTGGGCTGACTGAGGTGAGCAAAGCCTGGGAGTCTCACCTGCAGGGTGCAGTGGGTGAGGGGGTAGATTCCGCTGAGGCCTGGGGTCCAAGCCACCTCCAGCTCTGTAGGCCAGCGAGAAACCAGGTGGAGGTCACGGGGCCGCTGGGGGATCACTGTGGACAGATGAGGGCGCGTTTGCCCAAAGCTCCCCACCCTGCCCTCTGCCCCTGGGCCTAGCCCCCACCCGACACCCAACCCCCCCCCCCAACTAGCTCCCGTTTCTGTCACCTGTAATGGTGGCCGTGCGGGATGTGGTGACCCCCTTGGCATTATGAGCTTCGCAGGAGAAGGACGACGTCCTGTTCAGGCCTGGGGAGTCACAGGAGGAGCCCAGGGTCAGAGACGGGGAGGAGGGGCTCCGCCCACTTTGTCCGTCCATCTTGACCAGGCTCAGCCCAGGTCACCTGGGCGCCTGCTGGGAGGGAGAGTGTGGGGAGGGGAGGGCATGCACCGCCATCCCCAAGCTCAAGGCCAGGCCCCTGGCCTCAGACCAAGCCCCTGCCACACAGCCCCACACAGGCACAGGAACACACTCCAAAACACATGTGTACATACACACATAGACACAGACACACATACATGCACACACACTTTCAGAGGGGCCTGCAGAGACACCCCAGGCTGCGTGTGCACCTGCTAGACAAGCCTGAGGCTGTGGGCGAGCATGCCACCAAAGCATCTCATTCACACACTTGTCCTCTCCCAACCCCTCTCCTCGCTCATTGTGCTCCGGTCACACTAGCTTCCTGGTGTCACACACACACACACTAGCATGCTCCCACCCTGGGAACCGTGCACTTCTGTTCCTTCCACTTGGAGGCTCACTGCCTCCCTCCATCATGCCTGTTCCGCACATGACACCTGCCAGTCGCTCTGTTCCCAGCCACCCCTTTTCCAGCGCAGGGGCACAGCAGTGCTGGGGGTGCAGGGCCCCGTCAAGTGGGACTGGCACACAATAGGTGCTCCCTATGTGGGCACGATGGATCTGTGGGTGTCCATGTGCTGGTGAGCGTTTCTGGGGGTGTGTGCAGAAATGTGTATGTGGCCAGGAGAGCCACCATGTGCGTCTTCAGTGCCACTTCTCAGTGCCTGGAGATGATAACTGCCTCTCCCCAGTGCCACGGTGCAGCTGCGCACGCGCGCGCGCGCACACACACACACACACACACACACACACAGAGGCGCCTGCAAGTGCAGAGGCCACGCACACTGCCGCACATCTGCTCAGCGACATGGCACGGCCAGAGGTCGGAGCGCCAGGGCCTCGTCTGTTGCTGCCGCCAAGCGCGCGCGCGCGCACCTCGTCCAGCTGTTTCCGTGCGTGTGCCCGTGGCCCTGAGGCCTGCGCGTGCTGCTCTCTCGGGCCTGTGCCTGGGTTCCCACCACCGTGTTTGCGAGAGGGGCACTCTGCCCGCCCGCAGACAAAAAGTTTCCTTTTCTCCGGAGAGGAACCGGAGAAAAGTCCGCCGAGGCCGGAAGGGGGAGGGCAGGGGGAGGCGAGGCCCTGGCGGCTGCCTGGTGCCGGAGCGGCCCGTTCCCAGCCAAGGTCAGGTGCCCGCGCGCGCGCAGCCCCGGCGGCCAGGCGGCCGGAGAGGGGGCGGGGACCCTGGGTCTGCTCCAGCCCACCTGGCACGTGGGGCCTGCGCCAGGGTCACCGCGTGCGGGCGCTGGCGCCGCCCCTGCCGCGGGCCCGAGCAGCCGAGACGGAAGGGGGGGCAATGTTCTGGAGCCAGGTCCTGTTCCGACCGCAGCATTCCTGCCCCCGCGTGAGTCACCGGGGCGCCCCCCCACCCTGGCACTTCCGGCAGTCCAAGGGGCCCCCTTCCCAGGCCGGGCGGGTGGTGGCACCTTGAGGGAGGGGAACTGAGGGCCGGAGGGGGCCTGGGTCTCACTCCCCTCCTGAGGGCTCTCGCTTTGGGACAGGGGCCCGCCCGACACTCCAGATGTACTTTCCAGATGTCTGCCCCACCCCCTGCCCGCGCTCCCCCCGCCACTCTTTTCCAAGGGAATGAGAGGGATGGAAGAAGAGGGAGGCACGCCCTGAGTCAGATAGAGGGACAAACACCAGCAGACAAAATTCCTTCACCCCCCCAACACCAATGAATCACACTTAAACACACAAGGGCCATTATTAGAACCAGAAAATGCAGCACTCGCTACGCTACACACAGATGTGCAAGGGCTGATGCCGTCACACACACAGTGACTTCCATGTAAACCCACAGTGGTGGACGCTGATGTCAGATACACGGGTGAGCTTATGTGGGGACAAACACGTGAACACTTGGTCCCATGTGTGCACGCAGATGACAAACACCCACCAACACAAGGTGCACCCGGGCTCACGGGTGACTGGGTTGACTGGGGCTGGACACACACACACACCAGGATGCCTTTGGTGAAGGTTCCCATCGGCTTGCTTGCCTACTTGCAGCACCTTGGGGCATACAAACACGCAGCCAGACACAGCGGCATGCGCTCAGGCTGCTCCACGTTCATGGGGAGGCAGACTGCCACAGAGACACTGCTACATACACTAAGGCTGGCGCCGGTGCGCACGCATGCACCAGGCATGCACCAGGCACCAGATCATTCACCAAGTGGCAGCCACAGGGAGGGCGGATGGAAGCAGAGGGTGTTGCTACTGCTCTGCTCTGACTCCACACACACACACACACACACACACACACACGGACACATGCGTGTGGATACACACACACACACACACGGAAGCTGTGCCCCACTAAGGCCCCCTGCCTGAGAGAGGCAGCTACTGATGAATCCCTCCCACACACTGAAACTCACACACACAAACCCTGCTACATCTGTGCCCCCAATTTCCGCTCCTCCCATGGATTTGGCGGGGGGGGGGGGGGGGGGGACACCGTCCCCTCCCCCTTCCACTTCTCCTGGGTCCTGCCAGGCTGACTCAAGCCCCATCCCTGTCCCTACCCGGCCACCTGAGCTATGGGCCTGAGTCACCCCTCTGGGGGCTGGCTTGTTCCCTGCACACTCAGGGCCCCCGGAATGCTGGGAATGCGGCTCCTCCCTCCACCCTCCACTCTGGGAGACCCTCCTCATCCTGGCAGAGGGAAGCAACAGGTTGGGGTACGGGGAGCTGTTATCCTTTAGGGCTCAGCCACTTCCCCTGACAGAGCATCCCATGTGTACTCCTGTGTCTCCTCCTTCCATAAAGGGGAGCCCCCATGTCCAGGGGCTGCTTCTGCCCACTGTGTGACCCCAGCTGGAGGCCTGCCAGTCTGTGAGATGCGGAAGGGATGGGTCACCCTGACGGGGAAGGTGCCTATCACTCGGACCTCCCTGTGCTGTCTCTCCACCTCTGGTCACCTCTGTGGCTGGTCCCTTCTTGTGTCTCCCAGGCTCGCTCGCTCTGATTGTCTCTGAGCCTCCCACTTTCTCCCTCTCTCTCTTCTCTGGGCTCTGTGCCCCGAGAGGGGCCTGGCTGGATATCCTCCCTGTTGTCCTCCCCAAAGTCGAGGCCAGCAGGGCTTCTCAGGGCCGGAGGTGGGCAGGGCATGGGGGGAGGTGGAAGAGAGGCGGAAGCACTGGTTCGTGGGTCAAGGGCACCAGGCCCACACGCACTTGGGCTGTGCAGCAGCTCAGAGGAAATCCGGGACAAGGAATGCTATTCACAGCGAGACACTGGGCTGAATGGAAGGAGAGGCAGAGAGATGGAGAGACAGAAAGACACACACAGAGAAGCAGTGGGAGAGACGGAGAACTAGAGAAATAAGAGAACTGACAGAAAGAAACAGACGCGAGACCGAGACAGGGACAGAGGGACTGGCAGACGCACAGAGGCAGCGAGCCAGCGCTCTCTGCTGACTTGGCCCAGGGAAGCCAGACTCACCGGGAACACGCAGGCTGTCCTGGGGGCCCTGCCCCACGGCCGGGGCCAAGGGGGCTGCATCCTGGAGCCAGAGTAGGTCCACGGGTTCTGGGGGCCCCTGGGCCCGGCAGCTCAGGTTGAAGGGAGTATCGGCAGGCACAGCCCTGTCCTCAGGCTCCTCCAGGAAGTAAGGTAGGCCTGGCGGGAGGGCAGTGGCAGAGGTCGGGAATCTGGGAGCCTCCCACGTGTCCCACCCACCTCTGGGATACTGGGGGCTTTGGATACCTGACCCACTTTGCAGGGTCTCTGACCCCCCTGGGACATCTGAGCCTGCTTCATGACTGACCCCCTAGGCCTCTGTCCAGCAACACGTGATCCCCCTCCATGTTTGACCCCCAAGATGTCTGGGCCCCCCATGTCTGCTTTTCAGAATGTTTGACTCATCATCTCATTTTCTTGATGCAGAAAGTGAAGCCCCTGGTGTGGGGAGTGGGGGCTCAGTCTCGTGCCTACCACTCCTTATCTGGTTCCTAGAATGGGCTATGCCAGCTACAACTGACCTTCAGGACATCCTACAAACCCCAGTACGTCTTCTCTTCACAATACACACCCACAAGCCTGCCTCCATCCTCGAGGGACCCCAAGTTCTCTGCCCTGCAGGGCCTGCGTGACCTCCATGGACCTCCCTGTGTGTCATGACTCCCCCCCCCCCATCCCCGGGCTCACCTTCCAGCCCCAGATAGCCAGGCTGAGACACAAAAGTCTGTCCCCCCAGGACCACCGCACACTGGTACCGCCCTGCATCCGACAGCCGCAGGGATGAGATTCTGGAAGGGCAAGAGGAGGGAAGAGGCTGGAGGTCAGAACTGGAGCCGGTTGGTCCCAGAGGTCTTGTCACTGGCTCAAAGCCACACAGCCTGCAGGCGACTCAGCCAGGACTCTGGTCCAGGAGGGGCTCGGTGCCCATGACCTACCCGCCCGTGATGGGGGCGTGTGGGGATGGGGAGGAGCTTGGGTGTGGCTGGTTGGGGAGAGCAGGCACCTGAGTTTGCTGACCACTTTCCAGTCATCCTGGCCGTCTTCGCCCAGGGGCACCTGGGTCTGGGTGCTGTCCGCCAGCTCCAGGATCTGTCCATCCCGCAGCCAGACCACCTCGGGGGGCTCCCTCTGGATCCGGAGCTCGCACTGAAGGGTGCCCGTGAGTCCCCGGGCACGGGTGACGTTCCCTGGGCTTCTCACAAAGGGGTGCTCCTCAGCCTGCGCACCTGCATTGGAGCAGAGAGCTTATGGACCCCCCATTTTCTCCAGCCACTCGGTTCCACGCCGTCCCTGCCTGCCCACCGGCTGCCAGGACCCGCCAGGCCCTTCGGCCCACATAGTTGTAGGGTGACCTCAGAAGGGGGTGGAGGGCCGAGGCATGGGGGAGGGTGGGAGCCTTCCCAGGGGACCGAGGCCCAGCATCCATCCGTCCGTTGGGAAGTAGGCCCAGGATCTGGCAGCCTCCCACGCCCTGGACTGCCTGGCAGGCCAGTCCCGGCCCCCTCTGCCCTCCCTCAGGGTCTCTGGAGACTTCATGGACTGGGCTGCTGGCTGGGGGAGGGAGAAGGCGAGAAGAGAGGCTGGGAATGGGGAACCAGAGAAGTCAGAAAAAGTCTGGCACGGGGAGAAAGAGAGCGAGCAGAGATAGAGGTAGACAGAGATGAAGAGAGACATGACTCTTAGGACAAAGGGCAGGGAGGGTGTCTAAGAAGAGGGGCAGAGACGGGGAGAGAGCAGCGGAGCCGGCAGGCGGTGGACTGGAGGCAGAGATGGAGAGGAAGACAGAGAGGGAGCGGGCAGTGGTGGGGCAGGCACAAGTGTGAGGGGTGACAGTGGCAAGGAAAACCCTGGGGGCTCCAGAGCCCTCCCCACTCTTCCACTTAAGTGCTCTTTGGGGAAGGTTCCTGCCTTCCCAGAGGGCCCCCAGCCCAGCCCCGGCTCCCAGAGCCTCCACCCCTTCTGTCTCCTGTCGGTCTGTGTCCATCTCTTCCGTCTCTGGCCCTCCTAGTTTCTGTTTCCTGTCCCCCTGTTCCTCTCTCAGACTCTCCCCCTGCCTCTTGCTCTGTCTCGGAGTCTCAGCAGCGTCTCCTTGTCACCCTCATGCCAAGTCCCTTGTCGTTCCCAGGAAACTCTAAGCCAGCTCAGCACACCCCCCCCCCCCCACCACCACTCCCGCCTCGGCACCTGCCATCCATCCCCTTCCCCTCCCGCCACAGCCCCTCCATGGACGGCCCTGCCCCGACAGTTCCCATCACTCACCCCTGGGGGCCAGGCACCCCCAGCAGCATAGCACCAAGCACCAGGCCAGTGGGATCCTGCCCATCCTCCGGGCACCACAGCGCAGTCCTTGCCAAACTTTGCTCCGAAGTTGCTGGGCACGCCGCGGGGGGAGGGGGCAGGGCTGGGCTGTACCCGGCCCTCCCCCCAGCTCCGTGCTCCCCTGATTTGGCACTGCCCGCCTGGCACAGCCGAGTCCCTTCAGCCGGCTCCGTTCCTCCGCAGCCGCCTTCCCGGCTCCCTGCCTCCTTCTCTCCCTCCCAGACTTCAGGCAACCCAGTCCCCGCCCCTGGCTCCCCCTCTGCCTCCGCCCACCGGGCCCGGAGCCCAGGGGCCACCTGGAGGACGAGGGGTTAACTTGGAGAAGCGAGGACTAGCCTTGTCTTAAAGGGGCCTCAGAGGGGGGAGGCTGAGGAGGAGGAAGGGGATCCCCAGTGACTGTGCCCGGCCCCAGGGCCAGTGAGGCGGGGAGGCTGTGTGTCCCTCTGGCTGGGCCCTGGGCGCTGTCCCTCTGGGCTCCTCTGGTGTCTGGTAAACATCCCTCCCCAGCTCCCCCCACCCAGCCTGCACACCCCCCTCTGCCCCCGCCCCAGCCCCAGCCAGGCCTCCTTGGCCCTCACTCCCCCTCACACTCAGGGCTCCTCGGACAAGGACACACATACACACACACACACTCACACTCAGACAGGCAGAGACATGCAGGGGCACGCTGCCGGCCCACAGACACACTCCGACAAGCCGGCTCAGGAGCTTGCCTCCAGGAGAGATCTCAGAGGGAGGATATGTGAGAGACACTCACGTGCGGAGACACGGATCCTCCGACACCCCAGACCCCACGTGGACATGTGCACAACGGCGGTGCCCCCAGAACCGAGTTATCATCCCAGCTGTACCGTTAGCCACGTGGCTGAGGGCAGGTGCCTGGCATCCTGAGGCTCCGTGTGAATCTGTAAAATGGGAATAAGAGCAGGATCCCTTTAGCTGGCCGGTGGGGGGACAATCTGGGTCAAAGCATGTGCTGTTCCTTGCACCGGATGGAGCTGCACCTATCCGAAGCCAGGAGCTTCTCGCTGGGTCTCCTATGCGGGTGCAGGGGCCCAAGCACTTGGGGGCATCTTTCACTGCTTCCCCAGGATATAGCAGAGAGCTGGAACGGAAGTGGTGCAGCTGGGACTCGAACCAGTGCCCATATAGGATGCCAGCATTGCAGGCGGTGGCTTTACCCGCAGCACCACAGCGCGGGCGGTGTCTTAATCACTGCACCAAATGCCCCCCCAGGACCCCTTCTTGAGGTCTGCTTGACCCTCCTTCCTCCTTTCTCACCCAAAGAGCCCCCTCGCAGGCCTTGGAGCACCTTCCTGCACGTACATCAGCCCCATCTCTCGTCCACTCCCATGGCCCCACTCCCTGGCCCCTTCCAGTCTGAGGTCCTCATGTTGTGTTGTTTGCTTCCAACCCCCTGTCCTTTCCTGGCACAACAGGTGCATGGTCATCATTACAGATTTTTTGGCATGACTATGTGCCTCATATCTGTCCCCTCCAGTTGGCCTGTGGGCTCTGGGAAGGCGGGGACAGGCTACATCCTGGTCACTGCTGCATCCCCACCCATAAAGGGTGCCACAAGGGGACAATGAATCACTGAGGGGGCAGATGCTGGTCGCAGCAGGTTAAGTTGCCGCTTGGGATGCACGTCCTAAATTGGAGTTGGTTTGTGTCCCAGCTACTCCCCTTCTTTCCTTCTTCCCTCCCTCCCTTTCTCTCTCTCTTTAAAGATTATTTATTTATTTGAAAGGCATAGAGAGGGGCCAGCGCTGTGACGCAGCGGGTTAACACCCTGGCCTGAAGCACCAGCATCCCTTATGGGTGCCGGTTCTAGTCCCGGCTGTTCCACTTCCGATCCAGCTCTCTGCTATGGCCTGGGAGGGCAGAAGATGGCCCCAGTTTTTGGGCCCTGTACAGCTCCAGCTGTTGCGGCCAATCAGGGAGTGAACCATCAGATGGAGGACCTCTCTCTCTCTCTCTCTCTGCTTCTCCTCTCTCTGTGTAACTCTTTCAAATAAATAAATAAATCTTAAAAAAAAAAAAAGCATAAAGACAGAGAGGGGGAAAGACACATATATACACAGAGAGAGATATCCTCCATCCACCCAAATGACTGCAATGGCCTGGTCTGGGCCAGGCCAAAACCAGGATCCAGGAACTCCATCCTGCTCTCATCCATGATGGCAGGGACCCAGGCATCTGAACCATCATCTGCTGCCTTCCAGGTGTATTATAGGAAGCTGATCAGAAGCAGAGCAGTTCAAATTCTAATTGGAACTCTGATATGGGATGCGGCTTAACCCACTGTGCCACATTGCCAACCCCTCTGGCTACTTCACTTTTTTTTTTTTGACAGGCAGAGTGGACAGTGAGAGAGAGAGACAGAAAGGTCTTCCTTTTTTTGTTGGTTCACCCTCCAATGGCCGCTGCGGTCAGCGCACCGCGCTGATCTGAAGCCAGAAGTCAGGTGCTTCTGGTCTCCCATGCGGGTGCAGGGCCCAAGCACTTGGGCCATCCTCCACTGCACTCCCAGGCCACAGCAGAGAGCTGGCCTGGAAGAGGGGCAACCAGGACAGAATCCGGCACCCCGACCGGGACTAGAACCCGGTGTGCTGGCGCTGCAGGCGGAGGATTAGCCTATTGAGCCACGGCGCTGGCCTACTTCACTTTCAATTCCAATTTCATGCCAGTGTGCTCCCTGGGAGGCAGCAGGAGATGGTTCAAGTACTTGGGTCCCTGCAAGACACCCAGATGGAAATCCAGGCTTCTGGCTTTGGCCGAGCTTAGCCCTGGCTGTTGTGGGCATTTGAGGAGTAAATCAACAGATGGAAGATTTCTGTCTCTTGGTGGGGGGGGGGGGGGGGGGGAGGCGGCGGTGGCGCTTGATGCAGTGGGTTAATGCCCTGGCCTGAAGCGCCGGTATCCCATATGGGCACTGGTTCGAGACCTGGCTGCTCCACTTCCAATCCAGCTCTCTGCTGTGGCCTGGGATAGAAGATGGCCCAAGTCCTTGGGCCCCTGCACCCATGTAGAAAACCTGGAGGAGCCTCCTGGCTTCTGGCATTGGATGGGCGCAGCTCTGGTTGTTGTGGCCAATTAAGGAGTGAACCAGCAGATGGAAGACCTGTCTCTCTCTGCCTCTCCCCTCTCTGTGTAACTCTTTCAAATAAATAAATAAATAAAAATCTTTAAAAAAATTGTCTTTCAAGTAGATGGAAAAATAAAACCTTTAAAAAATACGAATTGAGAGGCATTTTTGAAGGTGCAGAGGTCTATCCACTTGTTTAGATATACTGCAGGTCTTCACCCACCTAGGGCATCACGGACAGTGCTGGGTTCGTGGCAAACTTGAACTTGTGACTTCATTCCCTCAAGAACTTTTGGCTGAGAACTGGCCCTCATATAGGATGCTGGTGTTGCAGGTGGTGCCTTGACCTGCTGGCCCCTGAGGGCCAGAGGATGGTTGAGGAAGGCCTTGCTGAGGTTATGACTGAGATTGGAAGGAAGTGAGCAAGTGAGCCAAGACCGGAAGAGCATTCCAGGCAGTGCAAAGGCCCTGCAGCCGGCGTGTGCCAGGAACAGCAACTAACTTTAGGGAGGGCTATGTGGCTGGGAGCGGGAGAGTAGAGGACAGGTGGGGTCAGGAAGGGCCTGGCTTGGCAATGATTTTGGTCTGTCATCTATGATGGGAATTACTGGTGGACTTTGGGCAGGAAACATTATTTGATCTCTTTTTAAAGAATCCCTCTAAGGCCGCTAGGTGAAAGGTTGAGAGACTTCTAATTTTTTTTTTTTTAAAGATTTTTTTTATTTATTGGAAAGAAAGAGAGAGGGGCTGGTGCTGTGGCACAGCGGGTTAAAGCCCAGATCTACAGAGCCAGCATCACATATGGGCACCGGTTCGAGTCCCAGCTGCTCCACTTCTGATCCAGCTCTCTGCTATGGCCCAAGTCACTGGGCCCCTGCAACCGCATGGGAGATCTGGAAGCTCAAGGCTCCTGGCTTCAGATCAGCCCAGCTCCGTCCGTTGCAGTCATTTGGGGAGTGAACCAGTGGATGGAAGATCTCTCTCTGGCTCTGCCTTTTCAAATAAATAAATCTTTAAAGAGAGAGAGAGAGAGAGAGAGAGAGAATCTCCCATCCGCTGGCTGGGCCAGGCTGAAGTTAGGAGCATGGGACTCCATCCGGGTTCTCCCACGTGGGTGGCAGGGGCCCAAGCACTTGGGCCAACTTCCAAACAGGCGCTCAGACAGGATGCAGGCGGAGGCTTAACTGGCTGCGCCACAACGGCCCGGACAGGACCTCCTAAGAGAAGGATCGGGACGTGGACGCAGCAGCCTTAGGAGTCACTGAACACAGAACCATTCGTTAACTCCGACTCTAATTCCCAGTTTGTAGGGGTTCCTGGGAATGGAAGGACATCTTGAGAAATGCTACAAAAAATGCCATCAGCCAAATCTAGAATATGAAAAACTCTTGTCAGGCAAATGACTCAGTTTACTCAAGAAGTGAGCAGCACGCCGCCAACGTCTAGGGAGCAGTTATGGAGTGGAAAAATCCAAGAGGCACTTCAAACGAAATCTGCTCATGCAATTGGTGTGAAAAATGGGTCCTGGGATTTTGACTTTTGAAAAGAAAGCTTCTGGGGGCAGTTCTTGCTTAGTGGATACAGAGGTTTTCGTGGGATGATGAAAACAGTTTTGAGTATAGGAGCTGGTGTTGTGGCATGGCGGGTAAACCTGCTGTCTGTGACACCATCATTCCATTTCCCACCCGGTTCCCTGCTAATGTGCATCGGAAGGCAGTGGAAGATGGCCTGAGTACTTGGGCCCCTGCTACACATGTGGGAGACCCACACGGAGTTCCTGACTCCTGGCTTTGGCATGGCCCTGCCCCTGGCAATTGTGGCCATTTGGAGAGTGAACCAGCAGAGAGATCTCTCCATCTCAGCCTCTCTTACTCTGCCTTTCAAAGAAATAAAAGAAAAAATATATTTAAAACAGAAAAAGATAGTTATCCTCCATCAAAGAGTGAACAGCCTAGGAACAGGCAATCAAGATGGAATCCCAATCCTGTCTGTCCACTTTACTCTTCCACTGTTTTGTGCTACCTCTAAAGAACAGAAGTCAATAAAGTGATAACATCATGGGACTTTTTTTTTTTTTTAAATAAGGAAACTTTGTGAATGACAGATGCACTGTGGTATTTT